AAAAAAAAAAAAAAAAAAAAATATATATATATATATATATATATATATATATATATATATAAAGTGTATTATTTCATATACAAGGTGAGTTAATAACTATTGTACCATCTTGAAATACCTGAAGTAAGAAACAAAAGTGATTTTCAGATCTTTGAAGCTGTTTAGAGAAAAAACTTTTTATGGTGGCTGAGGTTTTTTGTGGAAGAAGTAGCTTCGAAGATCTTACGGTTACCTCCATTTTTCACCTCGAGAATATTCAAGGTGGTAATAATTATTGACTCATCCTATACGTAAATTTGTATAACAATACTCGCGCGAAACTTTTGAAATTGCATGGTTCTTTATAATTATATATGTTAATATATGATATAAAAAATACGATATACTTTTATAAGGAAACCATATCATACTTTTATAAGGAAAAACATTATGCGGGTAAATAATATCAGGTTCTCCTTCGAGGAGAGACCTCTCATTGTACCCGTTATAAGACGTTCAGACGTCCCGATTTAAATGCCTCACTCTGCATATACGCGAGAGAAACGGCAAGGAAAATCTCGCGACTTGAACTCTCGGCATTCGATTTCGATAGCGCCGCCACTTGCTCGCTTGCGTTTTTCCTTTCAACTCGGGTTCGATTCGATTGAATTTTTGGTGATACGAACTAGTGATATGAGCCCTGGCCGCTTCCAGACGAGGATAAATCTCCGCCGACGGGGAAAATTTGAAATACTTTTTCACGGAGTTACCGCGATGATCGATGATCGTGCCCGACGTTACTCAGAGCGTCTCTGAGTTTTGCCGTATTCTGAAAGAATGTTTGATATATCCGAGACGTCTTCCTTCAGTCGACCAGATAAGGTGGCCGTAGTAAATGGCGAGGGGAGAAGGATACCACGGTGAAAGAGAAAAAGAGAGAAGTGCCTGGGAAAGTTTACAGGCTGTAAAAATTTTTAATTCATCTCGCGGTATCTCTCTACGAAAGTTGGCGAATCGCGGACCACATATAAAACACGCAAACATCCCCCCTGGCCTCCTCGTTCCATTATCGGAATTACAAAGAAAATTCGATTTACTTAATTCGAGCTCGTTTTTCTAATTTATCAAATCGAGTCGCGAAATGTACAAAAATTCCTCCATTACCGGAATTGCCGGATACGATGTGCTTCAAAAGCCGCGACCCTCGTCCCCCGAATCAGCATATCAAATTACGAAACGTGCACCATAATTCCCTGTCCTATTAAAATTGGACGAGGTCCGCTTTATTTAATTGGGAGTCACGTTTTTCAATTAATCGATTGAGGCCGAATTGCCGGGCAGTGAAAGCGCGCGCGCGCCGGAAAGAGAGTCCTCCGAGGATCCCGCGACTTTTATCGTTATCTCCTCGAGGAGGAGAGCCCCGCATTTTGACGATTAAACGGACCGGGGCTAATCTCAAATGCGTCGAAAAAGTGATCGCTTAATCGCCGTCGCGATAAAACGGCGACTTCCCGTCGTAATTCTTCTTTCGTTCGCCATTGAAAGGGGAACAGAAAGAGATGAGAAACCCGGAAAAGCAGGAGCAATCGGAAAAGCGTTTCGCGATCGCCTTCTCCTCTTTCTCACTCTTTCTCTCTCTCTCTCTCTCTTTCTCTCTTTCTATTTATCTAACTATCTCTCTCTCTCCTTCTCCGGCTCGATGGAGGCTAATCTATCCACGGAATCTCGCCAACGAATCGCTCGCCGTCGTCGGAATTCGATGTATGAAAATGCGATCGCTCGCTATTAATGCAATCCACCGGCGGTGTAGAATCGCGCCGTTAGAGCTGGAATATCGCGCAATGTCCGCTTAACAGGCGCGCATTTGCAGGGCGCGGGAGCGCGGGACGCGATGTAGGGCGACGGAAACGATCGCGCCCGCGATCGTTCGAACCGGTCGTAACTTCCCGCGGGCGCGTTATCTCGGAAAATGGCAACGGGCGAAAGTTTGAAGCACAGGTTGCGCGAGCAACGAAGCGACCGCAAGGGATGATCGCGAGAAGGGTGCGCGAGGGCGCGGCGCGATTGGCGGCGCTATCGCGATCGATCGCGGATTAACCGTGCGACGGCATTAACAACCCCCCTTCTCCCTTCTATCTATCTATCTATCTATCTATCTATCTATCTATCTATCTATCTATCTATCTATCTATCTCTGTCTCTCTATCTCGATGACGTTAATGACGTTGTTCTGGATGAAAACTGATTTCCACGTGTCTCTTCATGCATGTGTCACGCGCTGGTTCTCTGCCTGGATTCAACGTAATTGAACGTAAGTCTTGAACAAACGGACGCCTTGCGCTCGTCCGAATTCTGTCTTTCTCTCTTCCTCCTCCATTGTGCACTAATTAGTCCACAGCTGATTGATTGATTGACTGCCGCAGTAGTATGCGTGTATTTTAATGCGGACCAATCGTTCCGTCCAAACGAGGTAAAGAAAATTACGGGTGTACATCTGTCCCCGTGCTTGCCGACCGTCAGACAAGACTGGGAGTGTTTCCACGGAAAAAAATGCATCCTTCGACGACGAATTTTGTGTTGAACAGAATTCGTCGCGAGCCGGATGGACCGTGTTTTGGTGTCATACTTCACTCCCACGAATCGGTCGCTTGAACCTTTGCTGTATTCTTCGTGTTTTTTTTTCGCGCGTGGATACTCTGCCGGTTGATTTCCGCGCGCGATTTGGTTGGTGTTTATTTCCTTCCTTAGAACAGACGCGAGTTATTTGCGCGATCTTACGTGAGACGCGGAACTTCGACCTAAAATCGATAGGTAGCGTCCGCAGTAGCGCGCCTCCCTCTCATAATTAATTATTAATGGCTTTGCCACAATCCATCTAAGGCTTCGTTCGCATTAATTAGTAGAGATAGAGCATTCCATGAATATAGATAAGATGTTTTAAGCAAACCAAAATACGCGTGGATAGCGATTAGTTTGTTCATCCGATTGTTTCATCATTGCATTCCTGCAATTTTTTGCCAGCGGAGTGTTTGCAACGAGTGTGCACGTACACGCGGCGTTTTTCGCAAACCTTTACGCCGCTAAACCTTGACCTCCGCGTCAAACACAACGATTGTTTGCAACATTCAGTCCTGCAACATCGAGCCACATACATTTTACGCTAATTACGTGTATCTCTCGTCAGCTGTGCATTCATTACACTTGTATGTCAGGTGTATATACACTTTACTCCGACTGTACAACCAACTCTATATCTTCAAACTACCACACAGTCAAAAAAGTGTCGGATTGTGCAATAAATAATTTTGAATTTCTCAGGCAAAATGGAACGTTTATATTTTTATGTCGTTGTGTACACCGAGAAAGAATACTTTTGAACATTCCCAGATAGCACAAAATCTCCAGAGAATGTTCTGGGACGTTCTTAGAATGT